CTCTCTCCCTCTCTCCCTCTCTCCCTCTCTCCCTCTCTCCCTCTCTCGCTCTCTCGCTCTCTCGCTCTCTCGCCCTCTCCCTCTCCCTCTCTTCCCTCCCTCTCTCTCTCTCTCTCTCTCTCTCTCCCTCTCTCCCTCTCTCCCTCTCTCGCTCTCTCGCTCTTTTTTTTTTGCTCGGTTCTTTTCCATCTGCCAAGTCCCAAGCCACACCAACAAGGCAAAAGTGGCTAGATGTACAGGTTGGAGCAAGGCTCATTCGCCTTGTACTCCAAGCGCTCTCAAGAGCGCGCCTCACAGGCGCTGCCTACCTCGGCCTTTAGCTGTCAGAGCTCGGCCCAAAGCGTAGCTTGCTCTGTTTCTTGGCGCCAGCACACTCTCCAGCCAGCCAAGACTGGGTCCGTCCGTGCACGAGCTTAGTCACACCGTAGCATTGTTGGCATTCCAGCCATTCACCTCGCTTCCACAAGACGTGTTGCGAGTTGGCCTTCGTTCGCAGCTCCAAAGTCTGCACGTCCACCGGGCCATGCTCACAAGGCTTTGCACTGAGCTGCTGCACCGCCTCTTTGCTGGAGCGCCCGGGAATTTTCAGCCAGCAGCGGTAACACCCGAAGGAGCTGGGCCTGCTGAACCACCGGTGCCCAGGCTGACCTTCATCCAGCGCCTCAGTGGCTTCCACCAAATCCAACTTCATTTGGGTGAGGGTGCGGCTCATCTCCCCGTGGCAGCTCGTGGCCTGCTTCCTCGCAATCTCCTCATGAGTTGAACAACTCTTGATGTGGAGGCCACAAGATTGACATTCGATGCCATGCCCGTGGAGAGCCCATGTGTGCTGCCCTTCCTTGCGCTCCTGCTGGGTCAACCGACGCAGGATGTCAAGGCGCCCTTTCGGTCTCTCAGCCTTGACCTCATGTAGTGCGCTGTGTCAGTGAGGATCGAGCTGATCCGTTGAGCCGCCACTTCATAGACCTGCTGGTGCCATTGATCATCATCATGCAGCTGCCTGACTTCCTCCACTGGGGCAAGGCTGACCGCCCTGGTCTGTGCACACATGTCAGCCTCCTGAAACTGAAGCCATGCCCTCCTATCATCACCAGAGGCACGCAGCAGCTTCTTGGGAACATGAAGGATCTTCAGCCGCTTCCATTCTTCTGCAGGCAGACTGTTCAGCTTGAAGTTGACGCTGCAAATGCGGCCAGGGATGGCCGATGTTCAGTTGCTGTGGTGGCATGAGTCCAGTAGGGGCTCTGATCCAGTCATCAAGATCCTCTGCATCCCAGCCCATGTCAATCAAGTAGGCCTGGAGGGCAGCCATTGGCCCAGCAACGACCATCCACGGGTAGGCAGCAGCACGAAGGCGCCTCCAGGAGATACGCCATGCAGCACGCAGCTCACCTTGTTGCGACGGTGGCCACACCTGGATGAGTCTGTGCATGGCTTTCATCTGCCGTTCAACTATGGTGTCCTTGGGGTCCTGGAGCTTGACATGTTGATCATAAACAATGTCCACGCTGCCTCCCTTTTGAAGCCCTCCATGACGTGCAAGTTGGTGGCGCAAGGTGCGGAGGCGCTGTGGCTCAATCCCTTGCGCTTCCAGCCCGTAGCCAGCTGCTGCGTACACAGAGGTCTTCCAGATGCGAATCCTCACTGGTCTGGATCGGAGTTTCAAATGAAGCAGTTTGGCTTGACGACCTCTGCCTTTCAGTACAATGCGTCTCCGGCGGCCTCCGCTTGAATCCAGGCCAAGATCCTTTAGGAGCTCATGAACTTCAGGCTGCTCATCACGCCTGAAAAGGCTCAAAGCTCGCTTGCACTCAGCTGTTGACGTCAGGAAGCCAGTCTTGGAGCTGGACAATTGCAGACCAATGCATTCAAGACCCTGCTTCAGTTCCTCATACCCATCCAGTGCCTCCCTGCTAACTTCCGGTGAAGTCCACTGAGATGTCATCCACCCATACATCAACTGAGGCCTTCGGGAACTTTCCAGTGAACTGGCCAATGACAGGGGCCAACACCAATTTGGCAATGAGCGGGGCCACTGGGCATCCGGCTAGGATGCCTTTCCTGCAGTGGACTGGTCTGGAGGTGATCTGTTCCCCTTGGAGCAGGCGAGGTCCCGAATACACTTCATAGACCGCATTCAGGATTGCGGGTGGGAAATTGAGAGGTTCCCACAGATCCAGGAGCTGCTCCAGTTCAACCGAATCGTAAAAGCACTGCAGGTCCAGGAGCAGGGAAACGACATGGCGCCCTGTGGCACGGCCGACTTCACACTTGAGCAGTCTCATCAGGGCAACGTAGAGGACCTGCATACCCGGCATGCTGCGTTCCCAAGGGAGCCGTTGACCAACATTGCTCTGCCAATGTTTGAGCTTGTCCCATCTCAGTTTGCACCAAGTACGATAAAGGACACTAGTCAAACTGATGGGCCTCTCAATGTCCTCTTTCTTGGGAAGCAAGACCACCAACGTTGTGCAAGCTTGCTCAGGCAAACGGCCCGTCAATTCCCACTGCCTGTACATGTGGCACAGGTCACTCACTCCTTCCAGTGGGAGATTCTTGAGAAGGGCGTAGCTGATGCCATCAGGGCCACCGGCCTTTTGTGGCAGCTTGGCAAGCTGCTTCATGACCTGGTGGGGATCCAGGTCGGCCCATTGTCGGGCCTGCACGATGCCTTCCCATCGGAGCCGCTCTCGTTCTCCTGATGTGCCTGGCTTGTCAATGACTTGCCATTTGCTATACCATTGTTGCTCTCGCAGCTGCTGCCGATCTTGGACTGGTACATTGCGGAAAGGCCGAACATGCACTGCATCTGGTGCTTTCAAGCACTTGTAGATGCCACTGTGCCCTTTCAAGGCCGCTTGAGTCAACCACGCCTGATAGTCCTGAGATTGCTGCTGCAGGGCAAGTTTCTTGGCAAAGTCCCGATTTGCCTCGGCGCCCTTCATGAGGAGGGTCAAGGGCATTGAAATGCCCGAGAGCATGTCTTCCAGGGCTTCTCGGAAAGCAGCATCCCCATGCACATTCTGCCAGCGCATCTCCAAGTCGGCCGCCTTGGCCCTTAAGTGCAGCATGACATTGTGACTCAAGTGCCCGGTGTGCTCAATGTGGGACAGCAGGGAGCAAAATTGGCCCCAGTATGCCAGATCTCCTTTCCGCCACGGGGTGAGGGGCCGAGTCATGGGCAATGGCTTGAGCTCAATCGCCAGATACCACCCTCTGCCACAGCGAGGCTCTGCCAGGTTTTGCAGTGCATATTGTTCTGCTTTGTGACACCACTCTGCACATTGCAATTCTTTGGGGCCCATGGTGCGCCCCAGCCAGTAGGGTTTTGGCGCCGCCCTGAATTCATCCCATGGTTTGGCAGCGTGCTGCAATTTGGGCATGGCAGCATACTGTGTCACCTGCGGCAAGTGAAGCCGAGGGGCAGAACTGTCGATGGTGATCACGAGGCCCGCATGAGGCTTCCACGGCACATCCCAGTTGACCTTGATGTCAATGAAAGGGGTCAAGGCACGACTGGCCACCACGTAGTCAATTTCAGCCCCATTTAAGCAAGGTGGGCTGACCTGCACTGACCACCTCGGCTTTGAGGACGTTGAGCAGCTGATGTCCATGCCACTGTGCAGGGGGCACTTGGAAATACCAACGACAAGCCAAGGGACCGCCAGCTCACCCAGGAAAGCTGCAAGTTCCCCCAAGACTGCAGCGTTAGTGGTGGAATTCAAGTCTTCACCACATTTCAAATAGATTGAGACAAGGACAACTTCCCAGTTCTGGCGCTGCACAACGTTGGCAAGGAAACCATTGCCAGCCTTGTCAAAGTGGTGAATCTTGTAGGAAGATTGGCCCTCCCTGCAACAGAAAAACTGCCCACCACTAGTGCCACCACGCCCTGTTTCATAGGCTTCCATGGCAGTGACCTGCCATCGGCTCCTGGCCATCTCATGGGCCGCTGTGAGCAGCTTGGGGCCAGCAACATGTGTCTCAACCAGCATGGCCAACTGGAGGTCCTGCTGCAGCAACCATTCTTTGGCATCTCGGTTCCATTGCGTGACATTGCTGTACAAAACTTCAATGCCCTCTCCACCTGTGCGTGGCCGTTTGGGTGGTGGATCAAAGCTTCCAATGGAATGGGTCCAGAAGGTGCTATGCTCCGCTTTGGAGGCCCACATCATGACAGCACAGTCCACACTGCATCTCCAGCCACCAGCATTGCCACATAGTGCCCCGAAGTCAGATGTTCGCCTTGGTGGGCTATGATGCCACGAAGGACAAATGTGGATTGCCTTGCATGGCCAGTCGAAGTCTTCTGTGGGCAGCGAAAGCTGGATGGTGTAAACAGGCGGTTGTGGTGCTTGACCCAAGCCTTTGCCGCAGTATCGAGGGAGTAACGACCCACATGAAACACAATATGCTCCACCTCACTGCCCAGACATTGCCCGCTTGCTTCATTTGCCCAGGCACTCAGAAGCGTCTCAAAGTTGACATCATCACCTGCATCAACTGGCATGCGGACAAACAGGGGTATGGTGTCAAACTCATGCTCCCGGCCACCAAACAACGAATGCCAGTTGCCCTGCAAGCCAGTCTGCCCCCATAGTTCCCACAGATGAACAAGGAACTCACTAGCATCGTGCTGTTGCTGGGGATGCTCCAATCGTGCCAGGGCCGGTTGCAACTCCGACGCCCAGAAGATATCGTCGATGACATCCTGCTGCAAGATTTGGAGGCATAGGTTGGTGGAAGGCCCCCAAAACTCCTTAGGGTTTGAGTGATGTGCACCCATCCAACACCACAGGCGCAGCACAGTGTTGGCATAGCACCTGTTTCCCTTGTTGCCAATGGTGAGGGTCAAATTGGCTGCCAACAACTCATTGGCCGGTGGGATCAGTGGTGCATGTTCCACCAGCCTCGTCAAGGGTAAGCTACTCTGGAGCGCTGAGCGCATCTTCAAGATGTGCTTCAGAGCCTCAAGGCCCCAAACCCGGGTCTCAACTTTGCCAAAGCCCAAATCCTCCCGGCAGTCAGCCGGAAGAGCCTGGAGTGCTTCCATCGCTCTTTGTTGCAAAATCATCATTCTGTCTTGCAAGTGCCCAGGAGTGAGCTGATCATCACCTGTGGGCTCCACATCATGCAACACTTCTTCCATCTCAGATGCATGACCACGCTTGCCTCCGCCAAGGAGGGCACATGGTCCAACCATGGACTGGGCAAGCAACTGAGTCCCACCTACAGCAGGCCGGGGGGACCCCAACCGCTCTGACATAGAAGAACTCGGTGTCACCCAGCTCCAGGCTGTGTGCATCCATGGTCTCATTCCTTGTGAAAGCTTCTATCTTTGTAGAATGCACTGTCTCATTGCCATTGCCTCCGGACATGGCCGACATGACCCGCCCTGGCTCTAAAGCAAATGAGTTGTCTTGATCAACACCCATATCAATGTCATAACTTTGCAAGTCGTGATCCTGCACAAATGGACTTTCATAGTACCTTGCACAACCAACATACGGCTGCAGGCTGCCAAGCCAATATGAAGAGTCCACTTGACCCTGGTCACAACGCTCACAAACAAAATGCTCACAATCACAACTGCCCTGTGCATATCCCCGCGCACAAGGAGAAGTTGCTCCGTGTCTCCAAACCGTCAAACAGTCTCTGGCGTTTGACTCATCCCCACCAGCTGTCAACTGTTTAAACTCAGTGTTGTGCCAACAGGACCCCATCACTGTTGCAGCAAAATCCCATTTTCCCATGCCATCACAAAGTACTGCACTGTTACCCACTCTGTGGGAGATCACCAGTCTTGCGGCGCTTTGCCAAGGTTTCGGCAAGGTTGCCTGCTTCTTTTGGGAAAGCTGGCACAGCTCTCCCACCGTGGCCTTGAGTTGGCCAGTGACATCAACCGGAGCTGCAGGGGCCGGTTGAAGTAGGCCTTCAACAGCTGAGCGAACTTCAGAAGGGAGGGCCTCAAGATGAGCCTTGAGGACTTCTTCCAGCGGCTGCATCTCAGGCTCCGGGGTGTAGTCGATGCCCACTCCTTTGAGGGCCTCTTGCACCTCTTTGGTCAGAGAACTCCACCCTTTTCTGAGGGCACTCTCAGCCACTGACTCTGGCTGCCGGCCCCCCAGGCCCGGCGGCTTGTCCACTAGGACAGTGCGGTCACTTCGAGGTCGAGGGCGAGGAGAGCTCTTGTTGGTCAGACGGCTCTTGACCTTGTCATGCGGCCACTGCTGGCCACAGTGGTCACAGCACCATCTGGTGTTTGAGACCCGGTCAGCCCAAATCCACGACCCTGTGCACCCACCACAGACGTAGTAGGATCGTCTCGAGCGCACCTTATTGAAGCCATCCCATGTGCCACCAGTCATCTGCCAGGAACAAACTGGTAAGTGCCCTTGTCCTGGTCAAAGGGAGCTTCTTCTCAGCGTACTCCTCGATTGTGGGCAAAGAACCAGTGCCCAAGAGGAAGTCCCACAGCCCAGTCTTGAGCCGAAATCTTGAGCCGCTCTCTCGCTCTCTCGCTCTCTCTCTCTCTCTCGCTCTCTCTCTCTCTCACGCGCTCTCTCTCTCTCTCTCTCACGCGCTCTCTCTCTCTCTCTCTCTCCTCTCTCTGTCTCTCTCTTGGCTGCCTAGCCGTCTGTTCGTTTCTCTCCCGGCCCGGAAAGAGCTTGAATGTGCTTGAGAAGATGAGAAGCTGCCAAGTTGCGGTGTGTGATCATCCCAGAATGCTTTGAAACGAAGCACCTTCCTCAATTGCGGCCGAACAAATCAGACCCGTTGTGAGCAAAAGGGTAGGCACATAAAATGCGCATCAAAGGATCCGCTCGTTCAGGGCGAACTGCGTGAATTTCATGTCCACATGCGGAGCTCCGCTCATAAATTTGGCCAAGTTCTTCGCCTTCGCAGGCGCCAAACGAATTGAAATATATGTGTGTTGATTTATTCATATATGGATATACAGTAAATTAAGAGGTTGCGATCAAGACAGGAAGCAAATGAATATTACAGTAGTCTGCAGTCTGATGAAACCTGAGGAGGATGAGAATGAGCATGACGGATGAGGAAGAGGAGGAGGATGAGGAGGGGAGGATGAGGAGGACAATGCACGATGAAAAGGAGAAGTAGGATGGATCGGGAACAGTGTTACTTTTACGAAGCTTGATATTTCAAAAAAAAATACAATAAACAAAACTATTTAATTTAAAGAAAGAAAACAATAAGGATGAGCGTGACGATGAGCATGGATCAGAAAAAGGAAGAGCCAACCAGAGTCACACCCGACCAGGGCGGAGCATTACAGCCCTAAACTCCTTGACCGAACAAATATCAGTCTCTACCGTTTCTGGGTGACAGGATGCCGCCATTTGAAGACAAAGCACAGAAATTACAGCAGATATACCGATATACCCAAAGCAACTTTTCGTAAAAACAGGCATAATAGTTGCCAAATCTTTCTCATGACCCATGCGGACAACCCATCGCCACTCCCCACTTCTGAATCCAAGCATCTTCCACTTGTGCCTTGGTCAATGGCTTTTGACCCTTTTCTATGCTTTTCCTCAGCTTGTACGTCTTGTGCCACTCATCCTCCACCATTGGCTCTTCAGGCGGTAGCGATATCCCATTCTGCCTCGGAAGTGCCGGGAAGAATGCCAGTGACATCATGGATCAACGCATTCTGTCATTCAGACCAAGTGTTGAAAGTAGGACGCCGACTCAAAAAACCATCTCGTGAACCTATCACACCCACTGATGTGGATGGTCCGGCCAAAGATAGTGATCTCGCTCCCAACACGCAGGTCATCCGGGCCAATATATGCAAGCCCGTCTTCACGCCACACCTTTTGCCGCTTCAAGAAAGATCCTTGAGCAATTCCGGAGTTCTCCACCTTCGGTTCGTTCATGCTCATGGTCCCATCCTCCATGTGGAACATGATGGAAACATGTCGATAGCGTGCATTTTCGTCTGGCCGTTCGGTCACGGTTTCTTGGAAGAAGCCATAAAACCGGAGCACCTGCAAAGAACGAAAGCATCTAGTCATCTGAGCACATCTGGAGTCTTCTATCGGCCTGCTTGTCGTGCTTGAGCCAGGCAGGAGCATCCCTAGGTTGGCGCATATTCGAGGGAACCGTGTCCTGTTGAGTCAAAGAGGTTCAGTTTGCAAATGCAGTTTATAAATATATATATGTGTGTGTTTGTGTTTTGTTAATTTTTCTACATTATACAGTTATGCTGATATATTGTATACACACACGAATTGTATGCGTGCTGTTTCATTTCCAACACACCACCTGCCAATACTCGGACCATGAAGTCAGAACAGTCGTCCTCATCTGGTGGTGGTCCCGAGGGCTGCTCAGTGTGTACCATTCGCCAGCCTTCAGTTCACAGCATACAACTTTCTACAGTGATGACCAGAGAAGATGCCACACCCAACCTGCTGTCTGCAGAAGTCCTGCTAGCTCTCTAGTCTGTTTGGTCGGCGCTGGTCCTTCACATCATGATGAGAAAGGATATAATTGGGAGCATTGGAATACCTTCAGAATCTGTCCTTGCTTCCTATCCACAGCAGAGTCCAAATTGCCGCCGACTGAGAATGCTAAGGTGGCCTTGCTCGCAAACTGATGTTCATTGATGCTGCGATTTCTTTCCTGCTCTGCCTTCTTCAAGTTTCCTGTCGAACCTCTTGGCTTTTCAAGGCCAATCTTCCATAGGCCTGTGCAATGTGGGGCACATCGAAACTCAACAAACTGATTTGATCTGATTTGAACTACCCCACCAGGCAATGAAGTTGACTTCGCCATGCTCAATGCCATTGGCCACAGGAAGCACTCCTGCCACGACTCGTGGCTTTGCTGAGAAAACGACACCTCAAAGCCCGACAGGCCACTGGGCCTCTGTGAGGCCTTCTGCCTTGGCAAACGCCGGCAAGCTGGAGATTTCACTCCCAGCTTTGAGCCAAAATGTCAAGAGCTGGGTTTCAGTATGGCCCTGGTGGCTTGTGGCTTGGTGCCAAAAATGACAAAACAACACGCCTTCAACGTGTAAAAAGCAAACTCAAGACTCTCAAGACATGCCTCCCTCACATGTACAAGCTACTAGGACGCTATTAGGTGGAGGCCATCGCAAGTAAATTGGAGGCCATCGCTGGTAACAAAAAATGGAGCCTTTGTTCTTTTTTCAGTATGTCCCCCCCCACCTCTTCGGAGCCTCCTAGTAGCGTCCTTGCTCCGTTCGTAGCGACGCCCTTTGCTCCTAGTAGCGTCCTTGTTACTTCTAGTAAGGCACTTGTTACTAGAAGCGATGCACTTGTTCCTAGTAGCGTCCTTGCTCCTAGACTTGCTTTTCGGCCATCTTTCCAGTTGCCTGCAAAGTCCTGACGGCAGGGTGCAAATGACACCGGCTACATTTCGTATCGGTTCGCGTCTCACGGCCAAGACCCGCGCATAATCATCTGGCCCTTTTGAGTTGCCTCGCTTTCCGCATCCTTTGACCATGCTGAGCTTTATGTCGCGGCTCCTTTGGTTGCTTTGACATCACTTTGCCCCTGCTGGGCACTATCATTACTATAAGCTCCTTTGGAATAGGATTTTTCGGACTTGGTGGTAGGCCTGTTCTAGTTATGCATTCTAGTTGTCAAATGTGGCTCTTTACTCCGTGTTCTAGTGTGTTTGTTATTGGGTCCAGTCGGATGGTTCAGCGCGCAGTAGAGATGTTAAATCCTCTTGGAAATCGGATGCCTGGAGTTTCTTTCCCCGGGGCATGCCGGGTTTTGCGCGAACCAGCTGATTGGGGACGGGGAGTGTGGGTGGTTATGCCTTGTGCTGCAATCGGCTGCACAGATTTTGTCATGGGTTTCATTAAAAAGGGGGGTGGAGGGGGATGGTTTCGTTTTGTTTTGTTGTTGGTGTTGCTGTTTGGGTTATCGATGACGTGATAAATGACATAAAATATGGTTTGATATATGATATGTGCGAGGAACTTACTGCTTCGTTACTTTTTCCATTTGAGCAAGTGGCAGAGAAACAAATGAAGAGTTTGCTACAGCTACAGAAGATCAAGTCATCAAGTACATATATATACAGTGTATGTATATATATATATCAAGACAAGTGACAAAGACAAAGACAATGACAATGTCGGCTCTTCGTGTGAAAAGATACATCCACTGGAGCTCGTCTTCTTGAACACAAACATGAACCAATATGTTTCCACCTTGCCAGAAATAACTGCGCGCACCGGCACCGAGAAAAAAACCGCCCTGATCCTCAAATTCCACTCTGTTTTACATCATTGCAGGCGCGCCGAACCACCTGATCGGCGCATTGTTGCTGGTTGCTTCTGCGGCTAGATATTGCTAGATTCCATACTTGTCGTCGACCTGTTGGAGTTTCGCAATATTTTTAGTAAAAAACCCAACTGTACATTCATGCACCCCAACCTGAGGGAAGCCGCAAAGGGATGAGCAATCAATCATGATCCACCTTTGAAACATCCCCACACATTCTCGGCGTGCTTTCCTTTTCTGCACGTTATCTCTGACTTCTTGCCGACGTTGCCATGGTGAGGCTTTGCACAATGCAGGGCGAATGTTGGCTTGACCAAGCACTTCTCTGCATCAGCGCATGCACTTGCGCCTTGAACTACTCGCTCTTAGAGCGACAAGCAAACTTCCTCACATTGGACTTTGCATTCTGTAAACCACCTCATACTGAAGGAAGCTAGATCTACAAAACAAGCCCCTTCTAAGGTGATGCTGGAAAGTGATGACACTACGGGCAGCCGCTTGAACTTCCTCTCCAGGGGCATGTTCATTCACCAAGTCGATATTCATTTCCTCCTTGGCAATCACCGCGGGTAGACCGTGACACCTCTGGGATGGCATACCAATATCTGCTTGAATCTATCTTCTGTATCTGGTCTATCTGGGCTTTATCTTCTGTATGTGCTGGAAGAGCGCAGAAGATCTGAAACCGGGGCAGAAGATCTGAAAGGATGTGTTGCTCCTCAGCCTCCTCCACATTTGATCACATGTGTGCCACATCACATCCCTAGTGATCGCTCCCCAAAAAAAAAGTAAAAGAGTGATGTAACTTAAGTGACTCTCCACTGCACTGAGCACAATCAAGAAGAGACATGTTGGCACACATGTGATAAGCTCGGGATTGGTTTCCACAAAACAGGGGTAGCATGGAGCGATGTTTGGGCCAGAACATGCTCCCAAGACTCCCAAGAACAAGAAATTCTGCCAAGCATCCAACTCTAAAGGCCCTGGCCTTCACAGGCTCCTCTCCCCAGGACGAAAGAACCTTCAAAGAGAGCTGGAGCAAGCGAAATTGTGCCAGGAAAGCTGATAGTTGATCATCGCATCGCGACATGCATCAAACAATCACCAACAATCACCTTTATCTACAGTGCTCGGGTGCCTCTGCTGCAAGGGCCTTGACTGCTGGGTGACGGTCACGCAAGCCTCGACTTAAACCCCTAGCCACACTCAGCCGCTCAGCCAAAACAGCTCTCAGTTTAAGCTATCTGTGACCAAGCAGCGATTGGAGATCGCAGAGATGCGTTCTGAGTCTGGATCTAAGGCACCCAGTAACTTCAGAGAAGTAAGCCGCACCTGCTCGTTTAAGACTAGAAGGCACAGCTCACACACAACAAAATCGAACGAAACTAACATGTGGAGAAAGAATCGTGGGAAAACTATGAAATGAAGGAGGATGTCAAACAGCCGGGCTCGGATTGAAGCTCCTCCACTGTCTGGTCCTCAAGGCTTGCTACTAAAGCATCTCCAAGCTGTGATCGCAGGTCCTGGCACAGCTTGCTTGCACCGTCACAGGAAGCAAACCACTTCAGCCGTGACAGCCAACGTCCTCTGGAACCACACAGTCCAAAGCCTGCAGCAACCTTGGCGCATTCGTGCTCCAATTTCAAGACTGCACGGGCTCCATGCTCCAGGAGACAATTTCCGCTCCCCAGCACCGGCATCCAGTGTGCTTTTATCCCGCATCGTCTCCAAATGGCCTCAAACACTCAGCATGAATCCGAACAAAAACGTTCAAACTAGGTGGCGCCAAGTGGCAAAGAAGCACGGCTGACATTGCCTTTTGAGAACAATGTCATGTCGTTTGAATTTGTCGTTGCCTCCCCGTGAGGTTCAAAGGGAAAATAATCCGTCCTCATCGGCGACGCCGGCGGCTGTGATGAGAGCACGCAAAGCTGCTTTCCGGTTGTTGATGTTGCCATACCTCAGGCAAAGACTGCCTGATTGTTGCTGACCCTTCCTTCCTCTCGCGCTGATCAAGGCAACCAAAGGACCCATCGCTATCCTGCATGAGGACTTGCGCCACTGCAATGACCTGAAACGTGAGCATGACACGTTTTTCCCGAGAGCGTCTGCGAAGGGTTCTTCGTAAAAAACATCTGCAGAACTACACCTCCTCTACATCCTCACATCTTCACCTCTGTACAATCACGTTGTCACCTCTATCTCTGCTCATCTTCACATCTGCACATCCTCACATCTACTTCTCAGCTCATCTTCATCTTCACACATCTCACATCCTCACATCTACTTCTCAGCTCATCTTCATCTTCACACATCTACATCTCTGCTCATCTTCACATCTGCACGTCTACATCTCTGCTCATCTTCACATCCTCATATCTACATCTTTCTCTCTTAAGGCCGGGGGCAGTGCCGCCGGACCGCCACGAAATGCAACCCTCTGCGGAGATCGTGCGTGTCGAGTGCGCGAAATGTAGGCGAGAGTGCGATTTGTCTCTGCCGCGGGCAACCCTCTGCGGAGATCGTGCGCGAAATGCAGGCGAGAGTGCGATTTGTCTCTGCCGCGGGCAACCCTCTGCGGAGATCGTGCGTGTCGAGTGCTCGAAATG